CTAGAACCGTGAACAGCAGCAACAGCTGCTGCTGCTGCTGTTGCTGCTGCTGCCACTGTTGTTGCTGCTGTCCTTCTGCCAGCTGGGTCTTCTTGGCTGCTTCTGCTAAGATAAAGGCAGCAGCTGCTGCAGCGAATCGCGCTGCTGCTGCTGCTGCAGCGAATCATGCTGCTGCTGTTGCTGATACTGTTGCTGCGAAATTCGCTGCAGCAGCAGCGGCAGCAGCACGATTCGCTGCAGCAGCAGCAGCAGATACTGCGGGTACTGCAACACTTGCTGCAGCAGCAGCAGCTGCTGCTGCAGCTGCTGCTGCAGCGGTTTGCTTAATCAGCCGTGGACAAGCAAACCCCAAACCCTAGGCAGATCCTTCTAAACTCTGGGTAGCCTCTGCTAAACCCTAAACCCTAGGCAAACTCTTCCAAACCCTAATTTCTAGGCTGCTTCTCCTAAACCCTAAACCCTAAGCAACCTCTCGTAAACCTTAAAACCTAAGCAGCCTCTTGTAAACCCTAAACCCTATGCGGCATCTTCTAAACCCTAAACCCTTGGCAGCCTCTCCTAAACCCTAAAGCCTAGGTAAAGTCTCATAAACCTAAACCCTAGGCAGCCTATTCAAAACCCTAAACTCTAGGATGCCTCTCCTAAACCCTAAACCCTAAGAAGCCTCTCCTAAACCCTAAAGGAGAAGCTGCCTTTCCCGAACTCTATATAACCCAAACCCAAAACCCTAATTAACCTATCCTAAACCCTAAACCCTAGCTTTCAAGCACGCAGCAGCAATGCCCTTTCGCTGCGAGGTGTATGTACATTCAAGAGTCCTATGCATCACAGGGAAAGTTGCAATTTTAATTTTATTTTTTATTGAAATAAAACCCTCTTTTAAATTAAATAAATTCTTTCATTTTTTAAATTAAATAAATCTTTTTAATTCCAAAAAGAAGAATTTTAATTCCAAAGAAAACCCTAAAAAGCTGCCAGGCTCTGTGGCCCTCCACCGCACTCGGAAGGAGTGGGCGTTGCTGCAACCCTAAACCCTAAACCCTAAACCCTAAACCCTAAACCCTAAATACTGCGACTGTAGATATATAATTAGAATAAAAGAAACGAAGAAAAATCTTGTTCGCAAATTTGTTGTGGAGGAAGAAGAGGCAGCAGCTGTGGGGGCGCGCGGTGTCTCGACACCTGTACAGCACCCCACAAACCCTAAAGCCTAAACCCTAAACCCTCGAAGGTGCTTTTGCCCTGGAGAAGCTTTCTAAACCCTAAACCCTAAACCCTGGATGCAGCTGCCGCTGCTGTCGGCCGTGTGCTCTGGAGGCGGGGCTTTCGGCTGCAGCTGCATGTCTTGCAAACCCTAAACCCTAAACCCTGAAGCCTGTTTCTTTGATTTTTTGAAAACCCTAAACTGAAACTCTAAACCTAAACCCTTGCAGGGTTTAGCTAGTAGCGTGTCCCCAGCGGTCTCTTGGTGTCTCGTGAGGGCCTCCACGTAATTATTCGATGGTAAGGGTTTAGGGCTTAGGGTTTAGGGTTTAGGGTTTAGGCTGTGCCATCTGACTTAATGTAGAGACTAGGGTTTGCTAATTCCCTAGGCCTCCATTTAGTGTTTCGCCAGCTCAAAGTTCAGGGACCTAGGGTTTAGGGTTTGGCGTTAAGGTCTAGGGTCTAGGGTTTAGGGTTTAGGGTTTAGGGTCCAGGCTTTGAAGTGTTTTGCAGATGGTTCATCTTCGGGCTTTAGCGCTTCCGCTCTGTCTGTGCTACTGCCTGGGGCAAGGTACCTCCCAACCCTAAACCCTAAACCCTAAACCCTACACTTTCTTGAGACTTGTTCGATCATGTGCTGGCGTCGGCACTTAGGGTTTAGGGTTTAGGGTTTAGGGTTTAGGGTTTGTGCGTGGCCGCAGCGTCTGCCTTCCGCTTCCAGCAGCCTGCCCGCTTGCTTCCCTCCCCAGAGGGTTTGCAGCAGCAGCAGCAGCAGCAGCGCAGCCTGGTTCCCGCAGCAGCAGCAGCAGCAGCAAAAGCTGGCGAACAGCGAGCCCCAACAGCAGCAGCAGCAGCAGCAGCAGCAGCAGCAGCAGACGATGAGCTGCCTGCGAGCATTCTGGATGTACCCCCCAGCTTCTTCAAAGGCAAGCGGGTGTTGGTGCGGGGAGACCTCAACGTCGCCGTAATAGAAAACAGCAGCAGCAGCAGCAGCAGCAGCAGCAGCAGCAGCAGCTACTACAGAGTGACTGACGACACACGCATGAGGGCCCTAGAGCCCACGCTGCGCTATTTGCTGGACGCGGGGGCCCGCGTGTTGCTGCTGTCGCACTTCAAGGACCCCAAGCTGCCGCAGCAGCAGCAGCAGCAGCAGCAGCAGATGCAGCAGCTGCAGCAGCAGTACTCGCTGCGGTTCCTGCAGCAGCCGCTGCAGCAAATGCTGAAGACCCCCGTCAAGTTCGCCCCCGACTGCGTCGGAGAAGAAACAGAAGAACTTTCGGAGCAGCTCAAAGAGGGAGAAGTGCTGCTGCTGGAGAACGGTAGGGTTTAGGGTTTAGGGTTTATGGTTTAGAGTTTAGGGTTTAGGGTTCAGCAGTGTTCGGGGTTTGGGGTTTGGGGCTCTGGGACGTCTGGGGTGTAGTGGTGGTTAGGAATTGGGATTTATGGTTTAGGGTTTCGTAGCTTTCAGGACTGAGCGGTGGTTAGGGTTTAGGGCTTAGGGTTTAGGGTTTAGGGTTTAGGGTTCAGGAGGGTTTATTGGTGTCAGGGGTTCAGAGCATCACTCAGGGTTTAGGGTTTGTCGTAGAGAGGGGCCCAGGGCCTCGAACGCAGGGTGTTTCGGGCTCGAGGGTTTCGGGTTTAGGGTTCAGGGTTTAGGGTTTAGGGTTTAGGGTTTAGGCTTTAGGGTTTGTGGTGCGCAGTGCGGCTGCGGGAGGGCGAGAAGAGCAACTCCGAGGGTTTAGGGTTTGCGCTTTCGCAGCTATTTGATGTTTATGTAAATGACGCCTTTGGGGCGCTGCACAGGCAGCACGCTTCTATGGTTGCTGCTGCAGCAGCAGCGCAGCAGCAGCACAAACCCGCGCTCGCCGGGCTGCTGCTGCTCAAGGAGCTGCAGGCCATACAGGCAAGGGTTTGGAGTGTTTTGAGGGTTTTGAGCGTTTGGAGGGTTTTGAGGGTTTCGAGGGTTTTGAGGGTTCGGGAGGGTTTTGAGGGTTTTGAGGGTTTGGGAGGGTTTCAAGGGTTTTGAGGGTTTGGGAGGGTGTTGAGGGTTTGGAGGGTTTGGGAGGGTGTTGAGGGTTTGGAGGGTTTTGAGGGTTTAGGAGGGTTTGGGAGAGTTTAAGAGGGCTTGGCAGGGTTTAGAAGGGTTTAGGGTGTTTGGGGTTGCTGTGGAGGGTTTAGGAGGGTTTAGGGAGGGTTAGGGACTTTGAGGGTTTCCGTCGTAGCAGGGTTTAGGGTTTAGGGTTTATCAGGGTTTGGGGTCTTTGGGCAAGAAGAGGCTTTCGGGCGTTGAGGGGGCCTTGTTGCTGCAGCGCGTGGGCAAGGGTTTAGGGTTTAGGGTTTAGGGCTTAGGGTTTAGAATTCAGCATTCCGGATTCAGCATTTAGGGTTTGGGGTATAGCGCCAAGCTTGAAGGGTGCAGGACTACGGCGGGTGGCCCAGCCTTCAGCGTTCGGGTGTAGGGCTTAGGGCTTAGGGTTTAGGGTTTAGGGTTTAGGGTTTAGGGTTTGCGCGCAGGGCGCGTTGTCGCGTCCGGCGCGTCCCGTGTGCTGGATCGTGGGGGGCTTGAAGGTGTCTTCGAAGGCTTTGCTGCTGCAGCACCTTTTGGAGGTTTCGGAAAAAGGAGATAAAGTTTTGATTGGAGGCTGCATGGCTTTGACGTTTTTGAAGTCCCGAAACTTCGAAACTGGAAACTCCCTCGTCGAAGACTCGCAACTCCAAACCTGCAGAGTCCGACCACTGTACAGACACCTGAGCGTTCGGGTGTACAGACACCTGAACGCACTCAGCTGTACAGACACCTGAATGCACTCGGCTGTACAGACACCTGAGCCTTCGGGTGTACAGACACCTGAAGCCACTGGGACACCTGAGTGGATTCGGGTGTACAGACACCTGAATGTACTCAGCTGTATAGACACCTGAGTGCATTCGGTGTATAGACAGCTCAGGAGGTGTGTAGACAGCTCATGGAGTGTATGGACAGCTCACGGGGTGTATACACAGCTAAGGTGTACAGACACCTGCGGAGTGTCTAGGCACACCGCAACAACTGTGTAAACACCTTTTGAGGTGTCTGTACACCTCCTGAGCTGTCTATACACCTCGTGAGGTGTCTGTACATCTCAGGAGCTGCCGAGACACCTCGTGAGAGAGGCTTGTTTGGGTGTCTGGACAGCTGGGGCTGGGTTGTGGGGTTTGCTGCTGCAGGAAATCGAAGCTGCTGCTGCAGCAAAGGGGGTCTCGCTGCTGCTGCCCGAAGACTTCGTGCTGGGCCCTGCTGCTGCTGCTGATGCTGCTGCTGCTGGCACTGCTGCTGCTGCTGCTGGAGTCCCTCCTCACCTCATGGCCCTGGACCACGGGCCCCTCACAAACCAGCGGTTTGCTGCAGCTATTCGCGACAGCAAAACCATCGTCTGGTCAGCAAACCCTAAACCCTAAACCCTGCAGAAGCCCTCGGGGCACAAGCCT